TACGTGAGTCTGCATCATTGTTGTATATACCCCTTATGATGACTTATGAGCACTTGCGCACGTTTTTATATCTGTGAAAGTGACCTCTTCGAAGAAATACGGATCGAGAACCTATGTGCTTGCAATGCCGCACAACACAGTCTCCTTAGCTTCCTGTTAAGGCGTAGGTGCCCCATCGTGAGGACTTTTATGAGCAGTTCTTAGAGTTTACGTTCCCCATTAGGGAAAAATGCACCGCATCCGTCCATAATATACTCAGCAGTCACCTATTACCTTCATCTTACCTCATAAGGAAGCAATTCGAAAATTCGACATGCTGTTGCCTGTCTTCAGGTTGCAGCATTGGAAAGCGCTGAAATCGATAAGGAAATATTCACAGATCAGAGCGCAGAAGTTTGAGAACTGTGGTTTTCGGTACATACAAACTGTGGGCAACACTTCTTAAGGTATGCAATTAAGCTCCAATAATCGTATTATGCACTTCCGCAACAATTTCAAAAGGAACATACGGTCGTCCAGATCACGGTCTATCACATGTGCATCTAAATTAACATTTTAATTGGCAATTTAACTTGCTAACTGACAGATAACATTGGTTAATTGACATAAAACCACTTTTACTGTAACAAGCATTTTAGCCATGTATTTAAATAAACAGAAAATTTTAAAGAGTATAGTATATAATATGAAACATGAAAGCAGATAGTGAGTAAAGAAAATAATGGCTAATTATTTAGAGAGGCCTTACTGTAAAAGTTGAAGAATGAATGCTTGATTCTTTCAAAGTTATGGAATCATATGTTTTATTCACTAATAGAAGGTTTCATGCCACGAGAATATATAAATAAGAGATGAGTCATGAAGACATAAATAATGCATATAAATGTATCTTATCTGCTTTAAAATTAGCTATTCAGCTATAGATTAAATTATACTTTCCATTTTTATAAGCAGTTCATTTCGCTTCCAATTTCGTTTTCTAAAATTAAAGTTTGTAGATACATTAGGTATTTTTTGGAAGCAGGCAAGATGAAAAATTAGCAACACCTTCGCCGGGAATCCTATTGCGAACCTCTGAATTACGCGCTGAGCCTGCAGACCACTACACCACGAAGGCTGCTAAGAAAGCGGGAGAAATACCATATATACTCAACCTTTTAAAGGGCGACTGAGGTTTTTAAGGGACCCAATCGCCAAATCCTGGGTTAGGAGAATCATCATCCAACACCCTTTCAGTTCGGGCACCGCTGTAGAGACATTAGGTATTTTTTGGAAGCAGGCAAGATGAAAAAATATCAGCGCCTTCGCCGGGAATCGAACCGAGGACATCTCAATTACGCGCTGAGAGTGCAGACCACTACACCAAGAAGGCTCGCTAAGAAGGCGGAAGAAATACCTTATAAGTTTAAAAGCTTTCTTTTTGCATAATGTATATAGTTGATTACAATTAAAGACTTAATATAATTTACTGGACTAGATATGTGTACGGTAACATAAAAGCATACTTCTTAAAAATAAAAGTATTTAAAACGCTGAAATATGTTTCTTTCAGTAATAAAAGTATTTAGATAATCCATCGATAATTTGCTTCGGCAAGAACTTAAACATCTGGAATAAAAATTTTCTAGAACAATCTAATTAAGCACGTAAAATTTTTGCAACTTTCAGATTTGCGTATAATTTAGAATATAAATCTGTGAAAAAGGAGTGATACCTGTTCAAGTCGAAGTTTAGTTGAGACAACGAAGCACTCGTAGTGACATTAGGAACATAAATTATTTTCATCTTTCTCTCCTAATATAGGCATTGTTATCTCAGAACAGCAGATATCACGCATATTCATACCTACAAAAATGGATCTAGCTTTTTATATTACTTCTGCAACTCTGCATTTGGATTTCTAGCTGATCGACTGAAAGTCTAAAATTACTCATCATAGATAGTGATTAATTTCTGGCTACTATCATAGTATTTTGAAATATTTTGTAATATTTTAAATCTGTATTTGCAAACTTTCAGATTGCCAAATATATCTTGTTTATTATTTGTGTAATATATGGAAAACATTTAGGAAGGAGGCTTTTAATCAGTTTACGCCTAGCACAGTTGTACAAGATAATTGTCTAAAATTACGGTCTGAATTTCTACATAATTCCCGCTGAATGCAATGCATTTAGCACAGCAATTCACTAAATGTTGGATTGCAAAAGTACATAAGTCAAAATAAGTCAAAGGAATCCTAAACAGCGCAGTTCAAATTATCGTTTTTGTAACATGAAACATGCACATGCTGTATTAATTTTATAGACAAAAAGAACTCATCTAGGACCAGGCTTTGTAAGAATGATGGAAAAGAGAGAAATCGAGGTCAGTATTGTTGAAAACCATTTTAAAGGAAATTTGAGCCTTGCGTGCTGCAGAATTGTCAAGCATAATTAACGCTTTTTTGCCAACGTTGCTACGGTATTATTTTACGTGGCTTATTAATATTGATTCATCAGATACGCTTAGCACATCGCAGTTTCATATGACATGTAATCAAAGAGCAGTAATTTCTTTTCATCCCGTAATATACTCAAAATCACGGGAGTGACTTAAAGTTTTACCAAAAGGTTTTACCAGTGATTTACAGGTTGAGGGGCATCTTGGGTCAGTCTATAGGTCATCGGTACAGAGTGACTTTCGGCTTTCATTATTTTTTGAGAATATGGTCTCTCTGCTTTGGTAGATGTTTACTTACTATTATTTCTAACTTTTTATGATAAGGGGACGACTAAACTTTCATCTTTCTTCAGTACTTTTTTTCATTCCTTTTTTATATCGTTTGCTGATTTTCTAAAAAAATGTTCCTCTTGCTTTTCCATATATTTGTACTTACGGCACTGTATAAAATTTTGTATCAAACTGAATTTTGTATCTTCAGACTAAATTAGATTTATATATGGAAATAAGTTCATGTAAGATAATTATTTCATGTCTTAGAGAAGTGATATTTATCACGAAAAAACATTCAATTCATTTAGAAGGGAATTGGCAGGCATACAATATATTACAGCGCATCAGAGGAACCGCAAGTGTCATACAGACCAGCAAACATTCTACTTCCAAAAACGAGAAACAATGCAAGACTGTAGAATCTACTGGATAGTTTTACGCAGCTTGATAGTGTGTGTGTGTGTGTGTATTTAATTACGGCAAAGCACACTAGGGCTATCTGCCTAAGGGGAGGGATGCCTTTCGTGGAGGACTTTCCAAGGGAAACTGGCTCGTATACACGTTACACATGGGGAAAACCACGAAAACACCCATGCAGCCAGCCCGTTCGCGGGATTCGAACCTCGGACCGAACTACCAGTGTTCAGCGACTTTACCGCTCGGCCGCTGGTGGGCCCGCAGCTTGATAGAATATGAATGAAAACTAATAGAAGATGAATTAAAAATACAACATGAAGCATTGAAAAATTTTTCTATTCACAAATTTTCTGTTAATCGGAATGTTATATTTAAAATTGAAAATTAATATTTTTATAGTTTCTAACACAAATGATAGATTTGAAACCAATTGCCTGTTTATGGATTCGTCATTACCTTTGCGTACTTTATTACGATTCAAATTGTCGTAAAAATGTTTGTTTACTTGATCTGAATATGAGCCTGCAAATAAATATTTTCCTTAACCGCTGTAGTTGCGAAAAATTTCATCCTTTTTCTACGATTTATTTCTTGGTTGGAGGAATAACATCATTTTCTTTTCAATAGACTATTATGCTTGAAATTACGTTTAGTCACGACAGCAATGTATATTTCAAGCGCGCCTGCATATTTTTTGCTTTCTACATTTCTCTAAAAGGAAGTCTAGTGAAACAAAGGAAAATTTCTGAAATGTCAAAGGAAGTGAAACAAATGTCACGCAGAAATGCACCTGTATACTTCTTGTTGAGGTAAAGCAATACGTGAGTTTCCCGTTTTCATAAATATAAATATGCGATAAATTTCATCTCTATGTTTTCTTACAAATCTATGAGAAAATAAAGCTGAAAATTGCAAATTAATAGAAGAAAGCCACTTAGAATCTAGTATGTAAGATTAACATTATAAAATTTATTATTTAGGGTTCTTTTAAATCTTAGGGTCTTTAAATGTTAATCATTTACGTGTCTTTAAATGCTAGATTCTAAATGATAAATCTCTTTAAATGAATAATATTTTACCGTAAGTGATCTATGTAAGAAATTCCTTTTGCATAGCAGAATTTCGTTATCTTTCATGAATGTTTTAAAAATTAATAACAAAAAGTATGCTTGGATGCAACTTAACACGATCTCTGAAACTTCTTACTTTTTGCAACAATTTTGACGACAATAAAATTCTGGTTAACTCGAAAGTAAACCTGTATTTATCAAACTGAAATCTGAAGCTATGAGAGTGGTGAAAAATAATGCGCTTTAAAGAACTCTTAGCAATATTCGTTGTAAAAGAATATATTTAATTACAATACTGTAGATGCAACTACACTACTACAGATGTAAAGGAACTACAGACAACCAGACAAAATACTGAGCATCTGCAGTATCATGTGCATTTCATGTGCTGTAGTCTGGAGTTAAACGGAAATTTGAAAAGTATATATTCTTTTATTCTATTAGAGTATTTGAAGCCAAAAATTTAGGAAAAGAGAAATTAGTAAGTTGAATGTCAGTTCTAAATGCCTGGAAAATTTAGACGTAAGTCGAAAGTCTTACGCCTTTCGACTGGTTAAAGACATACGACAAAATTAAAGTGCTGGAGCCTACAGGGGTTAAAACAAAGTTCTACATATGTATAAAGACTAATTTAAGTCAAGTTTGTTTGAAAATAGGAAAAATTATAAACTTGAAGCTATTTACAATTTACGATCCTATATGAATTTCTTGTATCAACAAGGAAAAAGCTTTCAAAATAGCAATTTGCTAATAGCAGACTTTATATGACCATTTGTTAACTCTACGAGGGAAACTTCCAAAAAGCCGTTATAAGATTTTTGCGTGTCATCCTTGCGCAGGGGCCATGATAATCTTCTCTGTATCGTTCCAATTTTAGTATATGTACTATCGAAGCGAGTACAAAAGTATTGCCTCGAGTGAGGATCACGACCTTCAGATTTCTCGCAGGGAGAGATTATGAGACTGACGCACTGCCTACTGCGCTACCGAGGCTTGCCGTTATAAGAAGTAGAGCTGCAAGAATGAAGACAGGTGTTGTTAGCGTTAGCTTTAAAGAAAGCATCTTTAGATTTCTCAAAACTCAGAAGCAAGGATTGTTGATCGGCAGATGGTTGACAGGTAGTTTAATGAGACCAAATTTTGCTTAGACCTAGATAATCTAAGGTGCAAAATAAACAGGCGCTCTAATTAGGCATTAAGATCTGAGCGTGTTCAAACAGTTGCCTGTTGTTATTAGATGTTTTGCCTGAGTTAGTAACCTGTTATGCTTTACTTTAATGACTGTAAATTCAGCCCACTGGAAGAAATGGGTAAAATCCCGAATCAGCAAGCTAACAGAGCAGTTTTCGATGATTATATAGTTCCTTTGGCTTGTCATTGGTGAAATGCTTATAAAGCAATATATTCAGTTTAGCAAGTTGACAAATCTAAGGCTCAAAGAAAGAAAATCAATATGGGTTCAGTGCTAAAGAATGTAGTGGTGCGAAGAGCTACAATACATATGAATTCGCTAAAATACATATGAATGTATGTGACCATCTTGGAAAAAAAAAGATACAATCCAAACTATAGCATTCGAAAAAACCCCACGACCTGCGATATAAACTGTTCTTGAAGAGATGGCAATTTTCGCATAACTTTTTGAATCTATTTCAGTAATAATTAATGCTTTAATTTTGGTTTTTAATGATGTATCTACGTATTAATGACAAATAATTGTGGTATGCATGACATGATATGAATGATTTGGAAATTGATGATGTGTAATAGATGCCTAGCAAAGAAACTTGACAGACATGGCCAGATTCAAGATTAATTTTATTACTGACGAAAGCAATCCTGGATTCTCAATATTTGGCTTCACATACGAAAAAGCGTCTTATGCGCCCTACATTTTTGTTAGCTCAGAACATCTTCAATGAAGAAAGAAGTTAGCATCAAAGCGTCTTGCAAGGAGGAAAGCGTAAGCGAAAGTGTCAGAGGAAGGAGGGAGAAGATTTCAATTCAGAGGAAGAAAGTCAAAGGAAGTCAGAGGAAGGGAGTCAAAAGTTTCAGTTCGAGTTAAAAAAGTTTTGGATTACAATTATTTGACTGGGCAAGAGATATCTGCATCAAGCGTTACCTAGGATCGCATGATTAATGCGAATTTACGCAGTTTAGTCTTATAGCGCTACTTTTAAGATAGAGAGGAAGTCCCTAAATAAAATAAAAAATAAAAGAGGTTATAGCCAATTAAAATTAGAAGTCTGCTTTCATATTTTTTATCTTACATGCATATCTTTTCTAATATCTGTACTTCAGTATTTGTTAAAAGCTATCCCTCATATTATTGCAAAAAAAAAAAAAAAGTGATGAATCTAATACTATATATTCTCATTACAATGTGGGCTGAAAAAATTCCATTAAAAAAACTGCATTGATTATTTTTAGTTTTGGTATGTATTCTATTGTAATATGTAGAAAAAAGGTATAAAAATATACATACATCTATACATTTAATTGTCGAAAATAGCTACCAAGTAATAACTAAATAATCTGAAAAGTGTGTTGCCCGGTTTTAATCGGATACAAGGTCTGCAAAACTGCACAGTTTATAATCGCTTTTTTATAACAGTGTTTTTCACGACCCAGATATTTAATATCAAATAAATATATAAAATTTATTAAAATGACTTATTAATGAACAACATAAATATGAAACGATGTAGCTTTAGGACTTGTTTGATGTAAAAAAAATAATAAAAAAGTAATATTTTAATGAAATGACTTTACACTTTTTCCCCAGCATAACACATTAAAATCTTGTTGAAACATCTGACACACTGCTGGACATAAAGTATCTCCAGTGTTAAACTATGTTTCGATCTAATGAGCCTTAGCCCTCTAAGCGGTATGGACGGAAAATTCCGTATAGAAGGCTGGCTTTGGTATTTATTCATTACACATGAAATTTCTGCAAGATTTTAACGTATCCTATTTCGGGTTGGATGTACTATATTGAAAGAAAAGACATCGATGTACAAAGCGAGAGAGTAGGGTTTTAATTATAATCAAGAAAATACCATATATTCATGACATTTTCAGGAAATCTGAGTCAAAGATTTGTGTGAAAACTCAAGTTTTGAGTCCCTCGACAGCTCAGCAAATTCCTGTTGGGCAACACATTCCTTCTGCCATATAAACTGTTTATAGGACAGGCGATTAATATCATTATTGTCAACCAGAAATGGTTTTTATGTCAAAGACAGTATTTAGAAATCAAAAATTCGATAAAATGCATTTGCAGAATCGCGTTTCCAGGGCCTTTACGTGACCTATAATAATTTTTATAATTAAAGATTCACATTTATTTTTGAAGTGTAACATTGTTGATAGTAGAATTTTTTCGAATCAATCCTTTTTTACCGTGTTCCCCCGATACTAATTTTTTAACCCTCTGAGTGACACAGGATATTAGATCCGTCATGAAGACCAGTATTTAAACCGCATTTATTAATTTAGTTTGTATAATTACTTAGTTTAGTCTGCATTTTCATAAACTTACATTCATTAAGATGATATTTACATTATTAAAGAAAGTAAGAAAGCAAAATATCTTAAATTATAAGCTAATATATACCAAGTAGCAAAACTTCTGATGACCGGATAAACCCAGTTATAACGCTCAAAGGGTTTATAAAATGTCAATAATAATATTTTTATCATTCGAAGTTAATATATCGTTATATATTTTTAGTCCAAAAGGGAGGTAGACCAGAAGGGCTATTAGTCTCAAAACGGCATTTTGTGGCTCTTTACTGTAAACGGCGAATCACTTTTAAACTTTTGGCACCAAATATTATCCCCTTGTATTATATTTCAAGAAATTAAATAATAACGAATCTGCATGAGAAACAACGACTGTACCTAGAGCCATCAAACTCTGAATAACGTAATTCTCCACGCGAACATGGGCACATGGAAATCGGAATTTTAATTTTAGAATTTGTTTTATTATCCATTTCATATTTTATAAAACTTTAACGAATATTTGATTAACTAACTCAACGATTTAAAAGCGAGCAATGGCAGCACTATACGAAAAACAATCATCTCTAGAGGGCGAGATTGTCTATCGGAAATTCTAAAGATATGCTGTTTTTAAATATTTTATGATATTACTGTTGAAATGAATTTTATGCGCTTTAAGGGCGAAGAACATGATATTTAATAAATAAAGCTAATACACATAACGTTAAAAATGTCTCTTCGGATGTAATATCTTTCGGATTTAAAAAAAAAAAAAAAAAAAAAAAAAAAAAAAAAAAAAATTAGCCGTGATGTGCTATTAATTTTGTTCTGCCATTTTATGTTTATTCACTATAAACGGCGAATCATTTTTTAAATTGTTGCGACTAAATATTAGAGAGCTCTGTATTATATTTAAAGAAATTAAATGATGAAGAATCTGCATAAATGTATATATGTTGTGATAAAACAGCGGTACATAGAGCCCATCAAATTTTGAATAGCATACGTCTCCTCCTGAATATAGGAATTTAGAAGCCCAAATTTGGAATTTGTTTTATTATCTATTTAATATTTTGTAAAGCATTTATGAGTTTTTGATTAAGAAACTCAACGATTTCAAAGCGAACAATGGCAACGCTGTAAAAAATTTAAAAAAAAAAAAATTACCTCCAAGTCCGCGACATTGTGGGTCGGAAATTCTAAAGATGTGCTTTGTTAAATATTTTGTGATATTGCTGTTGAATTCAATATTATGGTTTAGGTGCGAAGAACATGATGGGTAACACACAAAACACTAAATAAAGTCCCTTTGGGCATAATTATAAAATCTGAAAGATGTCAGACTTTTTTTTTTATTTTTATGTATTTATTTATTTTCGAAGAGACATGTGAGATTATTTAATTCCTAATTTATTTTGAAAAGGAGCAGCAAGACCAGATTTTTTTCAATTAAAAATATAATATTTTCTTCTTTTAATAATAATAAAAATCTTTTAACTTTCGCCCTTTTGGCATGCATCTTAATAGTGCACGTAAAAGTATATTATTGCTGTTAGTGGCCATGTCTTTTCAGAGATTTGATTTGTTTTTTTGAAACAAAAACCAGCTGTTAAGGGCATGGCTTTTAATAAAATTTATAATTTTGTTAGCATCTTTAAGCACATCGTTGTTAATGGTTTTCTTTCAAGGGTCTTTAGATCGATCAGTTTAAAAAAATTACATGATGATCACTAGCAGCTGTAACAAAAGGAATTTAAAGCCCATATTTTCGCCCGTCGTAGCTTTTGCAACATCTCCGCATACTCGATGCAATTCTTCCATTATAAACCTTGTTTTGAAAAATTCGTCAACTTCACTATTCCCTTGTTCTATGTTCTTCCGAAGGACGATAAAATAACAGTTGTTCATGAATGTTTTCTTTATAATTGAATCTGACATATACTAACAACTCAGCTACTTTTGAGATGTCCGTTGTTTCGTCCACTTTTGAGCCACCATATTGATACTAGCAGAAAGTTACTCGAATTCGTAGTAATTTCATAAATTCCCTGGCTGACCGTGTCATCTGACAAAGAATTTTTCCGAATTCTACAGCAGATTTACTTCCGCAAAGTATTTATGCCACTTAAATAGCAAGTTGCAGGCAATACAAGATCTTCTAAAATCTTCTTCAATAATGTCTAGCTTTTTATTTTTAGCAGTCAGCCTAAAACATCGCAGAAAAACGTCGCTATGAAAACGTCGCGGTGATTTTTGTATTAAAAATCCGGTTGTACATTTGGAAGGTTTGAGTTAAACCATTACAACAGGCTTAGTAGTTTAAAACATTAACACAAAACATCATGGGAGAAAAGAAAGTAAAGAGAAAACATCGCAGTTTCTAAAACATAA